TATCAAGAACAACTTCAAAAGCATGAATCACAAAAAGGTTTTACTATATATTTGATATATTTACACATATATTATATATTACATATTTAGTTTACATATTTACACTGTGTTTTTCATCATACATGCTATTGCAAAAACTAAAAGTTTCTATTTTCTTATTCCTGACTCTATTATTAACCTCTATAAATCTTTTTTTTTTTTTAAACATCTTCGCTTCCAACAAGGCTGCAAGCAACCACTAATTAGTGTTGGAAGTTACTGGAAGAGAAAAGATGAAGATTGTAGAGCAAGATAACGATTGACAGACGATTTAAAAGATTGCAAATTATATGAATCAGGAAGGTAAGATGAAGGAAGCAATTTCCAAAGAACTGATGTTCGAGGAAAAAAACTAGACGAGTAAGAGTTTTTGGAGTACTTAGGAACAGTAACAGAAAAAGGATGAGACTTAATTGAATGACGAGTAACACAAGAATGAGTTTTAGTAGATGGCACAAGAGACGCTAGCTCTTTAAGGTTGGCTGCAAGAGCAGGTCTAACTATGTTTACAATGGGTTTTTGCACCTTGTCTAAAAGAGAAAGGGCATCATTAGAAGATCCGCCCCAGATATGGCAACAGTATTCCATACAAGGCTGGATTTGATATTTATAGAGATAGAGAACAGAATCCAGAGTAAGAAAGTGTCGAACTCGATAAAGAGAAGCAACTTTAGCAGATGCTAATTTTGCAACGGATCTGATATAAGGTTTCCAAGAAAGATTAGAAGTAAGAGTTAATCCTTGAAGATGAAGGGTAGGAGTCTCATTGAGTACATTACCATTCATAAATATAGGAAGGTCTAAATTATTGTGATAATGATTGGCTGAAAAAAATTGAGTTTTTATAGTTGTAGTTGTAGTATTTGTAGTTGTATTATAACTGTTGAGATATATTAAAAGTATTATAACATTCAAGTCTGCTCTAGCACCCAAACATAAATCCTTCTTTTTTTTTCCTGCATATACTACCATGATGGCTGCTCAAATAAGCTATCATTTGTTATTATGTCAAGTTGGTCTTTAGAATTCTACCTAATTTTGTATTTTCCTGATTTATATAATTTCAGTTTTTAATGTGAATGTGAATGAAATTTAATGTAATGTGAAACTAATTTTCTAATGACAATATTCTAACAATTTGTATAAATATTTTACTATGTCTGAAAGTTTCATAATATTTTAATAACGAAAAATTTTAAAGAAAAAGGAAAAATTATAGACAAGTTAAAGAAAATTAAAGAAAGTAAAGGAAAGAAAAATAATAATAATAATAATAATAATAATAATAATAATAATAATGCAAGTAACATTAAAAAGTTGGAAACCAAAACAAAAAAAGTACTCAAAAGAGAAAAGAAAATTCAAAACAAGTAAACAAAAAAAAAGTAAAAAAGTAAACTGAAAGAAAAAATGTAATAATCAAACAATATTCAAAAAAAATAAACTTAAAAATAAAATGGACAAGAAAGAGAAAAAGACTTCCAAATTTATTCTATCCGTGGACACGCCTTGTTTGTCCACGCATAGAATAAATTTTTCTGACTAACTGACCACGTTTTATTATTATGCGTTTTAAGAATTCGCGCCAAAACAAAATACCGCAAAAATGCAAGCAACCTTAAAGTAAATAACAGAAATCTGTTTGTGCTTTAAAATTAAAAAATTAATGTACATTATTAAAAAAAAAATTTACCTATATTTTATTTATTTATTTTTTTAGGGTGGTAGTTATTTAAGCTATGAAAAATCAAATTAATAAGAAAATCAAAAAGAAAAAGAATAATGTTTAAAGAAAATAAAAGGACCTTTTAATGTAAAATTTGTTTATGACTTTTATCAGTCAGTAATACTTTAATATTCACGATAGAACTATAAACAATTTTTAAATGTTTCGTAAATACATTTAAATGCTTAAATGTATTGATTTTAATGTTTGAATGTATTGATACGCAAGAAAACACGAAAACGATTGCTATTTATTAGTAAAATATGTTTTGTTTTTTTTTAATGAAAGAAAATTATATTGTCAAACGATTGAGTTGCTTATTTTGCAATCATTAATTGACATTGTGAACAAGTGTTAATATATAATAATGTCCCGAAGGAACTGTTTTCGTAACAATGACAACAGAAGCAATGCAATTATTTTTTTAACTTCTTTCGTAATTACAAAATTATGCAATTGAATAATTTCAACGTAATAAAAGGCGAGCATTGACTCAGTATAATCAGTTTAGAATAAGTCGAGAAAGAACTTTTTTCACATTAAAATTTTGTTATGTTTAAAATCTTAGATAATATATTTAATAATTAAAACAGCAATTTATTTTCTTGTTTAAGTATTGGGGAATAAAGTCATTGCCTTTGCATAAACCTTCGTAAAAACTAAATTAAATGAAAAAGTTTAACCAAATTTGTCTAGCGTAAATAATAAATAAGTTTTTTAATACATTGTCAGATAAAGTTCGTGAATAAATTACGTATTAAGTCTTTTTATTTTCGTGAAAACTTTATGACTTATCGTCATCTTTTCCTTGACTTGTATCAAATTTCGTAGCTGAAAATAGCAACCCTAATAAAAGAAAACAACAGTATAAAAATTTTGAAAAAAGTGTTCAAGACTTTTTTTTTTTGTTACAAGAATTTTTTTTTTTTTTTATTTTTTTTTATTATCAAAATATTTTTCTTACATCCAATTTCAATTTTATACTTTGTTTAGACTTTGTTTCCTTTTTTTAATATTATTTTTTATTCTCTGTGGATAATTTCCGCTTTCTTACGAAATATTGCCGCTGTCACATTTTCTGAAAAATTTATTCTATGCGTGGACAAACAAGGCGTGCGACCGCACGCCTTTCCTGGGAAAGCCTGATATTTTTTTTTACTTTCTACTTTGCAAGAGTTTCTTGTATTGCTGATGTTTTTATCTGTTAACTTAATTTTTAATTTATTTTTTTTAGTTATTATTGGTGTTGTTTTTGTTTTTGTTTTTAAATTTATTGTTTATAAGTTTAGTTTTTGTTGAGTTTTTGTCTGTGGTTTTTGTTTGAATTTTTTTATTATTATTTGTTATTCTTATTATATCATATTATTATATTACTTATATAGTTTTCATTTTGATTAAAATATTATAAATATTAATAATCATTTTCTGTTCAATACTTTTTTTTTGATTAAATTATTATAAATATTAATAATCATTTTCTATTCAATTTTTTTTTTTAATCTCACAGTAAGTTGTTACTTTATGTCAGTTTTTTAACTGTTTGTAACTTTTCTTCTTTGCGTATATAATATTCAGTTTTTGTTTAGAAATCTATTAATGATCATATTAGTTTTATTAATTTATGTTGTTATGTTTTTATTAATTATGTTTGTTATGTTTTGTATGTTATTAATTATGTTTATGCTGTTGTTATTTTTGTGTATTGTTTATAATGTTGTGTGTTTTTGTGTATTTTTTTACATTGTTGTGTATTTCTATGTTTTGTTTATACTTTGGTGTAATTTTGTGCATCGTTTATATTGACGTGTACAGTTGTGTATTGTTTGCATTTTTTTGTGGTCTTGTTGCTAATTATTTTTACAATTGTTGCTTTTTATGTTTATTGCTATTATTCAAGTTATTTTCTTTTTTTTTTGTCTCATCAAAATATTTAAAAATATCCTTTGGTTTTTTTGTTTTGTTTTTTTCTTCATTATTTTTATGATCCTTCTGATCATCAAATATTGTGTTATCTCATTCATTCGTTATCTATCATGCCAGTTTATTCACTTTTGTCTTTTTTTGTGTTATTCGTCTTGCTATTTTAAATATTTTTTTTTTCTTTTTATTTTGTTTAATTTTATTTTGGTTGCTATCTATATTACTTTTTTTTGCTTTATTTGTTTATTTTATTAAAATGTCTCTCCAATAATTAGTATTTAACTATATGAGTGACACCGAACCTAATTTTGTGAAATTATAAATCACTTTGTAATTATTTCAACTTTAAATAAATGGATTTAAAAAAAAAAAATGTCTGATTTTTAATGTTTACCGATTTCTCGTCCTTAGCTGTCTTTTTCATTTGCTTAATAACTTTCAACTTAAAAAGTGGTTAGTTTCAGTCTTGTTAGAAATTAATTTCCTAGTGAAGTGAAAAGTGACTAACTTTTAGATTCTCAATCTTTGTTCAGATTACAATAAAGGGTTTGGTGGAAAAGTGACTAACTTTTAGATTCTCATTTTATGTTCAGATTACAATAAAGGGTTTGGTGGAAAAGTGACTAACTTTTAGATTCTCAATCTTTGTTCAGATTACAATAAAGGGTTTGGTGGAAAAGTGACTAACTTTTAGATTCTCATTTTATGTTCAGATTACAAAAAAGGTTTGGTGGAAAAGTGACTAACTTTTAGGTTCTCGATCTTTGTTCAGATTACAATAAAGGGTTTGGTGGAAAAGTGACTAACTTTTAGATTCTCATTTTATGTTCAGATTACAATAAAGGGTTTGGTGGAAAAGTGACTAACTTTTAGATTCTCAATCTTTGTTCAGATTACAATAAAGGGTTTGGTGGAAAAGTGACTAACTTTTAGATTCTCATTTTATGTTCAGATTACAAAAAAGGTTTGGTGGAAAAGTGACTAACTTTTAGGTTCTCGATCTTTGTTCAGATTACAATAAAGGGTTTGGTGGAAAAGTGACTAACTTTTAGATTCTCATTTTATGTTCAGATTACAATAAAGGGTTTGGTGGAAAAGTGACTAACTTTTAGATTCTTATTTTATGTTCAGATTACAATAAAGGGTTTGGTGGAAAGTATGGTGTTCAGTCTGATCGCCAAGATAAGGTAAATTTTTAAAAATCTATTTCAAATACTATTTTTTAAGGTTTTAATTTTTATTTTTTAATACTTAAAAATGAGGTTTTCATTTTTGTGTTCTTAGAAATCCTGTTTTCATTTTTGAGTCATAGAGATCCTGTCGATTTAGCTTCTGCATATGGCTGCTATTAATTGTTTTTAGAGAAAAAATTCTCTAAAAACAGTTCTCTAAAAAAAATTCTCTAAAAACAGCATAGGTAGCTAACCTAAACTAATTTTTCTGCTTTTGTAACAGTGTAATGAATGATAAGTGGATATTTAAATTTAAAAAATAGATACGCATAATTATTAAAATTAATGGTGCTGTTAAGCCATATGCAAAAACTCAACAAAAAATTTAAAACATGTCATTATATGTCAAAATGGGATTCCATGTGCACAAACAAAATAAAATCAAGTAAAAATTTTCCCATTAAACCTCTTCAAATTTTAAAAGCTCTTTTTCTTTTTTATTTAAAATTTATTTTTTTGTTTTATGAAAATACTTCTTGCTAACATACCCTGCACAAATTCATAATTGAAATCTTAAGCAAGGCTTAAAAAAGAAGTTTAGAGTTAATTAACCTAATCAAAGCTTATTTTTGATATGAATATAACTTGTTTGATGGTTGGGGACTCCTTTAAATGATTTTTTTAAATGAAATTTGAGAATGAAAATAGTAAAAGCTATTTTTTATAATATTTTTTTACTTGCTAAAATGTTGTTGAGTCTACATGTCTGCAATAATTATTTATCAAAGTATTAAAAATGAATGCAAATTCTTTTAATAGCAAACAGAATTTACTCCAACATAAATAATGAAAAAAACATACTTATACACAAATAATTTTGTTTAAATATATCTAATGATTACAGTTATCTAAAAAAAAAAGGAGAAGAAAACTTTATTATGTAATAACTTTTTCAGAGTGCAGTAGGATTTGATTATCAAGAACAACTTCAGCAGCATGAATCACAAAAAGGTGGTGTAACACTTTTTTTTAAAGTATACACTTATTTACTGAAAACAATATTGATAGACTTGTATCATAAAAAATAATTAAAAAATGATCAATTTATTAAAGGAAATGAACAATTATTTTAGATTATACAAAAGGTTTTGGTGGAAAATTTGGTGTCCAAACCGATAGAAAAGATAAGGTATTATTGTTGATAAATTTTTCTTAGGTTTTTTAGACTTAAAAATATAAGTATAGTTTATCAAGTTTGAAATTTTTTTTTAATAAGTATAATAAATATTGTTAAAATGTAGTTTAAGTAAGTATAATGAATATTGTTAAAATGTAGTTTTTGTATACATACATACATACATACATACATACATACATACATACATACATACATACATACATACATACATACCGATAAGTGGGAAAAGGCTGATGCCGATACCAATGAATTAACTAGTTAGTAAAATTTTGAAAATATAAAACCATACAACTCTAAATTAACTTTTTAATTTTTTCATGGAATCAGAGCTGGTAAACATACTTGGACCCAAATCAGAGTCAAACTATTATTTTAAAAGATTTTAGAAAAACTCAGTTAAAAAAATATACATTTTTTAGTTTTTTTACTATGAAAAGAAAACTTTTAAAAAATACAATTTTAGAGAAGCACTTTTTACTTCAATTTTATAAAGAAAATGGTATTAAGATAAACATTATCTCATTATCAAGGCAGCCTGTCGATTTCAATAGCTTTCTAGTATGATTATTTGGGATGATTGAAAGTGTGTTTTTGTTTAATATAAAATTTTATGTTAAATATGAAAACCTTTTATAATTTTATGCAGCATTGACATCATTATATATATATATATATATATATATATATATATATATATATATATATATATATATATATTATAACAGAAGCGCTATTAGACGCACTTGAAATATATAAAATTGCTGTTTTAGGTTGAAAAAAAATGTTTAAGTAGAAAAAGTGCGTCTAACAGCGCGCTAGTATATATATATATATATATATATATATATATATATATATATATATATATATATATATATATATATATATATATATATATATATATATATATATATATATATATATGTATATATATGTGTATATATATATATATATATACATATATAAATTAGTAAAAACACTTCAAATTCAAGTTATTATTTAATTACCTAAAAAAGCATATAACTTATAATACTTGTTTAGATTTAAAAAAAGCAGTCTGGTGTTAAAAATGAGCCTGGTGTCAAGGGCTTCAGTACATACATCAATTGATTAAATAGAGGTCATTTGCTGCTACATCAACTAAGGGTTTGGGCTGGGGCAGCAATTTTTGTTTTCTTAAAAAAGTTGTATGGCTGTAATAAACTAAGCAAAAAAAATGACAGTAAGTTCATATTTTACTGGTTTTTCAATTGTGAAAAACACAAAGCTATAGGTACTGAAAAATTAACTATTGTTTGCTTACTTCACTATGTTTCTCAGCCCTCTTTGCATGTTCTACCTGTTTAGTTAGTCAATGTAGTTGCACTCCTTGTATGCTTTATCTATTTCAGGCCTTGTTTTAAATAAAAAAGTGCTTAACGCATTAGCTTAACGCTATATTTGACGTCATAAAATTATCTTTATTTTTTTTTTATAGACGTTAAGTGTTTTAACTACCGCAATAAATAAATAACCGCTAACTAGTTCAATTTAACAATTAACTCAAATAACTATAAACGTTTTAAATGTAAATTTATAATAAAAAGTTTGTTATCTTATTATTAATTTTAGTTCAATATTATTTAGTAAAAAAAAGATATATATATATATATATATATTTTAATTATTTCTGAAATTTGTTTTTGTATAATTATTGTTTATAAATCGTTATTGAATAAAAAATAATGATTTTTTTTTATTTTTAAAAATTTCTGGAGTAAACAAAAAATATTAACATTGATAAATAAAAACCTATGTTAATTATTTAAACAGCGATTTTGTTTTGACTAGCAAAGAATAATTTAGGAAAGAATATTTTTTTAAATTTATCTTGCTGAGCGTTTATTTAAAAATATAAAAACGTTTTGTCTGCTTTTAGCATATTTTTGATACATAGTTTAGAACGCGTTTGCCAGGAATTTAATTCATAAATTTTTTATGTTATTGTAAAAATGTTTTACATTTTAAACAAATCACAAAGAAACAGAGCTAGAGAGAAAAATCGTTTTTAACGATTAAATCTTTTTTTTTAAATTTTAAGAAATTAAAAAAAAATTGAATTAAATATAAAAGTCTTAATTATGCAAACTCTTTTGTTAATTATTCTTATAACAAAAAACAAATCCTTCTCCGCAAAACTTTAATTGTGCAAACTTAAAAAAATACTAAACTAAAATAATATAAGTATATTTAATAATTTGAATCGTATCTGTTTATAATAAACGTTCGTAAAAATTTGTTTATTAAAAATTAAGTTCCTTAACTTATAAACAAATTCAAAAGTATTTTCATTCTACGTATAATAAGAAAAAAAAAAAACTCTTTTTTTTCTTCGTTTGTAAGCAATTTAACTTAATAAAATAAAAAAAGAATAAATGTGAGGTAATCTTTGTTAAGAACAAATTTAATTTATTTATTAAACTATATTTTTATTTTTATTTATATATCAACTTAAATTAAATATAGTAACATGTTAAAATATTTTAACATGACTTTTGTTATTTATAAACCGTAGGGCAGCTGCCCTAACGGCACAATTGTTTTAGGACTATATTTTATTTTGATGAAAATCACATAACTTACATTTGATTTTAATAACGTAAGTCTTCTCTTTTTCTGTGAACATCGCATCGGCAAAGTCCCAAGATTTAAAAGTTTTTGAAGGAAATCTTTTGTCCTTCAAAATACAATCCATATTCGAACTTTAAACAATTTAGAGAGAATAGAAATAAAAAAGGTTTTTATATACTAGTTTGTCTTGTTTTATAAAGAAAAATACATATTCATTAATAAAAAATAGAGACTGTCATTTAACTAAAACGTGCCTTAGTATTTATTTAACGGAATCTGTAATGTGCGCGTGCATAATGAAACCTTCATTATAAAAATATATTCAACGTAATATTAGTGTCATCAGCGGATGTTATAGTCTACTCGTGATTTTTTTACCTTCAAAAATTGCGAGTAACAGGTAATTTTTTTTTCTGTGCTGGCCCCCTCCCCCCGCATAACTTAAAAGCAAAGGTATCTATATACCTTTTACTAATAAGAAAAGCAAAGAGTAATAGTTAATAAAGTAATTTTTAGAAAAATACAAATAGATTGTTCATTCATTGGCACATTTTTTTAAATATCTTAAAAAAATGTCTTGATATTTTTTTTATCATGATAACAAAAATATTAAGACGTTTTTTGATATATTAAAAAAATGTCAACCCTTAATTACAAATTTTTTGCAAATGTTTTTTAATATGAATTTAGTAAAAAACTCTTAAAAAATTTATATTACAAAAAACATTTATATTCTGTATTAATAAGTTTGAAATATAGATTTTTTAAATGTTTTTTACTGAAAACTTTAAAAAGTTACTACTTTTTATTAAAAACATTTGCAAAAAATTTGTAGTTAAGGATTGACGAACAATTTTTCATGTTACTAAATATTTGAATAAAAAGTTAAGCGTAAAATTAAATGTTATAAAAACGTATGATATGTCGCGATAAAAAGTTACTTCAATTATTTTTAACGTAATTTTTTTTTTCTAATAAATATTTTTTCATATCGTTATTCAAAAGTTAATGTGATTTTTTTAAAAATTAATTACTTCTTTTATGTTACCGCTAATTTAAAAGTTAAAAAATGATAAAAAGTAGCTTAACCAAAACAGCTCTACGCGTACGTAAAAATCGCTTAAGGCGTACGTAAATCGCTCTAGGCTTAACGCTTTAAAACAAGGCCTGCTATTTAGTCAATTGATGTATGTACACTCCTTGCATGTTCTAGCTACTTAAGTCAGTCAATGTATGTACACTCCAATCTATAAAACAAAAATAAAAAAAATACAAAAAGATAAAAACAAAAACATCAGTTCAAAAAACTTTCTACTCAAAATTATTAATAAAAATATTTTAGTAGAAAGTTTTTTGAACTGATTCTAATCAGTTCAAAAAACTTTGCTTAATGGATAAAAAAAAAAACATCAGTTCAAAAAACTTTCTACTCAAAATTATTAATAATAATTTTGAGTAGAAAGTTTTTTGAACTGATGTTTTTGTTTTTATCCATTTGTATTGTTTTTATTTTTGTTTTATAGATTGGAGTGTACATACATTGACTGACTTAAGTAGCTAGAAAATGCAAGGAGTGTACATACATCAACTGACTAAATAGATAAAGCATGCAAGGAGTGCAACTACATTGACTAACTTACCATAATTTATGGTTTTTAAAAAAATGATAATATTTTTACACTATTATATATATAATATTTTTACAATATATATGAATATTTATATATTTATATATATATATATATATATATATATATATATATATATATATATATACATATGTATATATATATATATATATATATATATATATATATATATATATATATATATATATATTGAATATTTTTACAATAGTCAGCAGTGGGATATGAATACCAAGAAGAACTACAAAAACACGAGTCTCAAAAAGGTTGTTTATTTAAATTAGTATATTTTTTGTTTGATTTTTTTTTTTTAATTTCATTCACCTCCCTAAAGTCAAGGATGCAAAAAAAGTCGAGGAGGATATTTAATTTGTTGTTGTTGTTGCAACCCTTTCTTTTTAATTCTGAAATGTGTTTCTTGATGAACAAGGCCACTGCACAGAAAGAATCAAGTTAATTGTTCTGTTACCAGGGTTGTGGATATATACAGTTATAAAATATCTTATGGCATAATGACCAATCATCATAAGTTTAACTATTCTCTCCTTTTTTTTTCTCTCCTTACAGCAATGAGAAGTTTATTATAAATCTTTTATTTTTTTTAACAATAACATAAAATTTCTTTAAATTTAAACAACCAAAATTACCTACATACATGATTTCATTTATTAAATTTTACACTTTGTGCTAGACAAGATTGAAAAAAAATATTCACAGAGTTCAAGTAATTTAATTAACTTTTTTTAACTGAATTTTAACATTTTAAAATTAATGATAATTATAGTATAAGAAATATTTGATAATAAAAATGAAGTTTATTATTTGTAAAATGTTTAGTAATGATAAATGAATAATAAAATCTTAATAATTTAAAGTATATTAAAATAAAATCAATTTTTTTGTGTTTTAACAAAAAAATTTTTTTAGATTATTCAAAAGGTTTTGGTGGCAAGTTTGGAGTTCAAGCCGATCGACAGGATAAAGTATTATTTTAAAGTTTGTTTGAAATTAAAATTTTTTTAAGGTTTAATACATTTTTATTTTAAATTTAAAAAATGAAAGCATAATATTGTTTATTTATATTGTTAAGTATTGTTTAGATTAAACTAGTTTACTATTCATTTAGTCAGCTGTTGGATACGAATACCAAGAAAAGTTACAACAACATGATTCTCAAAAAGGTTATTTTGTTATACTAAATACAAATTAGATCTTTATTAGGAATTAGATAAGGTCTTTCATTATTAGGGATTAGATTAGATGTCTTGCTAGGGATTTGATTAAATATCTTGCATGGGTTGGAATTTGATTAAATGTATTGCATGGCTAAAGATTTTATTCACCATCATTTTTATTGTTGTTGTGGTTTAGCATTCTTTTTAGGCATTATTTGTTTCATTTATTTATTTATTTTTATTTTGGTAATTATTTAAACATTTTAAATCCTATGACATTTACTACACACTTTTTTTATTATTATTTTTTTTAAGTTTAACATCCATAGTTCCACACATGTGGTTTGGATGGATTTCCAAAATTTTGTTATTTAAGTAAGAGATTATGTTTTTGTTAAAGCGTCTTTTTTACAACTGCATATGCCTGGTCTTAATCTGTTATGCAAATGAGGTTTTTTTCTGTGATGCTACAATTATGAAGATTACCATAAAGAAGATAACCATTTGGAAGATCAAAGTTTTACAAGCTTTTTTTGTTTTCTATTAAAGTTTTCCTTCTCTTTGGTATGTGGTGTTCACTGTGGCTAATTAGTTTTTTCTCCTCTAATATAAAACAATTTATTGTCATGATCTAAACTTTTCTAGATTTTATTTCTCACTACACCTAATTTTTAGAAATAGTTTTATTTTTAGTATTTATATTTAGTTATATTAGTTAACTTCTTTATATTCAAGTATACTACATAATTTAACATGCAGAATTTTTTTAAAGATTATTCCAAAGGTTTTGGAGGAAAGTTTGGTGTTCTATCTGATAGACAAGATAAGGTAAAAAAAAACTAAATAATATTTTTTTAAATCTAAGCAAGCTCTCAATCTAGTAACTGACCCAAACAATCAGTTAAAAAAGTATTTAAAAAACTTCCAGATCTCATTAAAATATTGAAAAGATGTGATATATACATGAGATATATATATATATATATATATATATATATATATATATATATATATATATATATATATATATATATATGTATATATATATATATATATATATATGATATATATATCTCATCTTTTCAATATTCAAGGTATCTTAAATATTTAAACTTCTAATAGTTTTATAAATTCATCTTTATCTTTAGTTTTTAATTTTGAGATTTTATATAAAGTTGAAAAATAATTTTCTAAAATCGTTCGAAGAAGAAGAAAAAAAACTGAGATTTTGCCAAGTTTATTGTTTCCATTTTTTTAATGTAAATAATCTTTAGTGTTTATGTAAGATGCATACTGTTGGGTTGTTACAATGAAATTATTTATTTAGTCAGCTGTTGGCTATGAGTACCAAGAAAAGTTACAACAACATGACTCTCAAAAAGGTTTTTATTATATTTTGAAGATTTTATAAATTTTAAAAGTGAAACTTTTTTATTTAATAATAGCATAATTAAATTTAATAATAGCATAATTAAATTTAATAATAGCATAATTAAATTTAATAATAGCATAATTAAATTTAATAATAGCATAATTAAATTTAATAATAACATAATAAAAGTATAATAGTTATTTAATTTTATTTTTTTGTTTGTAAAATTAAAATTCTTTTTAAAGATTATTCCAAAGGTTTTGGTGGAAAATTTGGCGTTCAATCAGATAGACAAGACAGCGTAAGAAAATAATAATTAGTAGATTACTTATATGTACACATAAAACATTATTTATATGTGTTATATGTACACATAAAACATTATTTATATGTGTTATGGCTTGATTATGACTTATATGTACTAAAGTTGAATCTAGCCAAAATTTAACTATAAGTTTGTAAAGTAATTAATAATCAATTTGTTTTATCAAATTACCAGTAAATGATGTTAATAACTTGTAAAAAGTATTATATTTATTACCACGTATATAACAAAAATTGATTATCATTAACAAGATCAAAACAACAAATATACGTATGTTTAATGTTGTACAATAAAACTTCACCATTAAAAGAAGATATTCAAGTTCTTTTATCTAAAGATAATATTTACTTCTATTATCTAAAGATAATATTTACTAAAGATAAAAAAAGTTAGATATAAAAGTAAATTTTAATAGTATCTTTTGATAATACATTATTTTAAAAATTTGATCATTTCAATTTGTTTTACTTCATTTGCTTAATATGTACTAATATTGTATTCACATATTATTTTTGTAATAATATGACACTAAATTTAAAAAATATATATATTGCGTTTTATTAATTTGTTTTAAGGAGATTTTTTTTTTTTTTTTTTTTTAAAAAAAAAATCTCCTTAAAACAAATTAATAAAACGTGTAAAATGCTTTTTTCTTAGTATGAATATTAAAATAAATAAATAATTAATAAAATTTAATTAGTATCATAATACAGTGAAAGGTTTTTCCGAGAAAAGTAATTTAAAATAAACTTTTTTTTTTTGAAGACAAACATAAAATTTCACTCCAAAGAAAAAAGAGTCAAAACTCTATAAAGTAATTTTAAAACAAAAGTCAATGGTTAAGTTTACTAAAAAATATGTTTGGTTAAATTTATTAAAAAACATTATTGGTTAAGTTTATTAAAAAACATTATTGGTTAAGTTTATTAAAAAATATTATTGGTTAAGTTTACTAAAAAACATTATTGGTTAAGTTTACTAAAAAAAAAAAAAATTTGTACATTTTAATTATTTTTTAGCAAAATATTTTATTTTTGAAAATGAACTTTATATAATCACAAAAATCAAAAATAAAAAATGGATTCTGTTTTATTCTGTTTCATTAAAAATCTAGCAATATTAAACTTATAAAGAAATCCTTTAACAATATACTCTAAATTGCATAAAAGTAACATAATGTCAAATCAGTTTTAAAAGGCTTACTTTTGCAGTCAATCAAGCTCATCAGTTTTAACAGATATTCTTGGCTTCTCACTCTCTTGAGGTGTTCTCAATAATTGCTGTCAAATCATACATTTGTTCAGTTGCTTCATCCGATTTCCTAAGATGTTATAATGATAAACAAATTAAGTTTGTTGATCATTATACCATCATAACTTAGATTACAACATTTTTCTTTAAGATGGTTATTGTTTTGCAACTAGATGATATAGAGGTTTTAAGTTGTCTCTAAGTTGAGAATTCCAAGAAAACTGAGGAAATCTACACCTTCATTCATTCCAACTTTAAAAACGTAATCTCGATTTCAGTTCCTCTCAGTACCAAGTCTTTTTAAAATACTAAATGCTAATTTGACTTTGAGATGTTGCTTTTGATTTATGGATACACACTTCTTAATTCATGCATACACATTTCTAAATCCATGAGTACACACTAGGGTTTCCAATCTGGATATCCTAATATCTGATTATCCGGATAATCCGTCTTATTTTGACTATTCGAAAATCCGGATAATTATCGTTAAATATCCGCTTATCCGAATATTTTTTGATAAACTAAAATTTGTTTTTAAACGGCTGGAAACTTTTAAACATGGAGTTAAAAAGATGAAAAATTTTAACTAAAATAACAATCTTTTTAATAAGTTCAGTAAATTTACTCAAAATATGTACTTATTTCTATTTTCTTAAATGTTAGCTTTTTTTTTCTACACTTTGTAACAATTGTTGTTACACTTTGTAGCTCAGTTGTTTAAGCACATTAATATGTATATATTCTTTAAATTTGGGCATTTTAATTATAAATTAAATATTTTTAATATTCTGTTTTATAATTTTTTTTTAACTGTAAGTATAATGTTTTTTTTTTTTAATTTTATTTAGTGATTTTTGTTACATTAGGTTTCTTGAACAGTATTTATCTTTTATTAAATTGCTTTTAATTTCTTTTTTGCTTGCAGTATGGTTCATATTATTTTACTTTTTTGTTATCATTTTAAGCTATACTATTATATAATAACAGTCTCTAGTTAGCTTTATATTAGTAATACAACAAATTATTAGCATTTTTATATAAGTATTTAGTTTAATAAGTGATTTATTACACAAAATTCTAGATTAATATTTCACTCTAGATGTATTACTTCCATTTTAAATTTAAAATTAATTTTTAGATTTCTTAAACTTAAAAAATTGTAATGTCAAAACGATCTGAAATTTGGAACCATTTTAAGAGAAATAAAAAAAATAGGGATGTTGCTCTCTGTAAGCATTGCAGTAAACAACTAGGATGTAAAGGATCATCTACAACACCATTTCTTAATCATTTAAAAATTCATAACATTCTGTTAAATTCCTCTAGCCTAACTACTGCTACTAAAAATTCATTAGAGATAAATTGTGAATAAAGTGAATCATCGACATCAAAAAAGTTTAAAAGTACTTATGTTGACAATAGTATAAAAAAGTTTGTTAAAACTAAAACATTGGAGGAAATTTTATTGCGATGTGTAGCAGAGGATGGTTTCTCAATGAATTCTATAGTGAAATCACAAGCCATTATTGGCTTGTTTAAGCACATTAATATGTACATAATATTTCACATACATAATATTTCACATTATTATACATTAAAAGTAAAGGATTTGACATGCCTAAAAGCCCTACTACTGTAAGAAAGTGGATTTTAAAGTTTTATGAAATAAAAAAAATAGAAACAGTTAGTATTATCAAGGATCTAAAGGGAAAAAATGTTAAATTCTCACTAACAGTAAACGAGTGGACTGATAACTCTATGAATAGATATCTTAATGTTACACTTCATGCCCTTGTTGATAACTTAATGAAAAAATTTGAAGTGTATGTATTAGGGTTAGTTCACATAAAAAGTACATGTAATGCTGAACAAACAAAACTATATGTTGAAAATAAGTTAAAAGAATTTGAAATTGACATTAAGTCAGATGTAATATCATCAACACATGATGGAGCAGCTGTTATGGTCAAGTATGGAAGGCTATTAGGCATCATATCTCAACTTTGTTATAACCGTGGTTTGCATTTAGCAATAACTGATGTATTGTATAAAAAACAACAATCAAAGTTTTGTGAAGAAAATGAAGAAGTAACAGATTATGAGGATGTTAGTGAAGACATTGAATGAAGACAGATTATGTTAACATATTGAAGACAGATTATGTTAACAACTTCAAAACTATTTGAGTTGAACTCAAATAGTTTTGAAGTTGTTAACATAATCTGCGAGTTAGAGAAAAACATTGAAATTATAGATCTCACTGAAGATTTTCAAGAAGTTATACAAAATGTCAGAAGAATCATAAAAATGATAAAATTCTCTTCAGTAAAAAACAACATGTTACAAGGATATGTTAATGAACAAACAGGCATGACATTGTAGTTGATGTTAGATGTCAAAACTGGGTGGAGTTCATTGATAGCCATGCTCAAACGATTCCTTCAAATAAAGGATCCTATAAATAAAACTTTTTTTTAAAAGATTTTAGAGGAGAATGTAGCAACTTTAGAAGAACTATTAAATGTTCATTTGATAGAAAATGTTCTTTTGATAGAAAATGTTTGATAGAAAATGTTCTTGCCAATAGAAACTGCAATAAAGGAGTTGAGTAAAAATTCTGCAACTCTTTTGACCGCTGAAGGTGTTTATAAATTTATATTTGAAAACTTAGTTCAGTTGCAAACTAATATAAGTAAAAATTTATTAAAACAGATAAAAAAGCGAATGGATGAAAGTTGCGATAAAATCCTTATGACATTAATAATCTTCTTACAATCAGGCAATATTCCACATTCTACTAAATTTTTTGAATATACTTCAAAAGCTGCCGCTATTACTTTAGCAGTGGAAATATTTAAAAGGATTCATACATCTAGTGGTGACAGCAGCAGTACTGAGAACAATGAGGTCAAGGAAATTGCAAAAGAAATAGTAAGTGAAAGTATGCCTAAAAGTCAAAGTGCTAATAATATTATGCAGCAAAAGCTGAAAGCAGCTATTTCCTCAATTACCCATGCAGAAAAGCAGAGCAGCACAAATATTTCACTGTTGAAAAATGATTTTATGTTTTTAACAACCACTAAAACAAGAACAAATAACTTTAATATATTATTTAATGCATTTCTCACAATTAGACCAACATCTACTGCAACAGAGCGCATTTTTTCAATTGCTGGTTTAACGCGGACAAAAATTAGAACTCGCTTAAATTTTGAAACTCTTAATGCAATTATTTTTTTGAAATATGCATTTTTAAAAATGAAATAAATGTAATTAGTATAATTGTTTTATTTTTTTTTATATTTGATTTTTTAATGTATATCACTAAAATAATTAAGTTAAAATTAATTATTACTATGAATGTGTTAAGTTCAATCTATTGTCTTTTTTTTTGTTATCTGGATATATCCAAATAATTTGAATTTTCAGTATTCGATACCCGGATAGTCATTAATGTCGGATAATTGGAAACCCTAGTACATACTTCTTAATTCATGGGTACATACTTCTTTAAATTTAATTAAGCTTGTTTAAATTTTCATAATAATTAAATGCAGAAAATAATGTACCTTAAAAGTACATTATCTGGAACCACAAATATAGATTTTCCTTTTCTTTGTTTCAATCTTACAGTTTCATAAGGTAATGGAGCCTGTTTGAAATTACCAAATTCCGTCAAAGCATTTGTTTAGTACACCTGCAAATAAGGCCTCTGCCAATAATGAAAAAAAAATGTTGAAAATCTTCTTTAAGGTGTAGATTCTTTGTTTGGCTGAACCTTTTGGGCAGTGCTAACAGATAATAAAAGTACAATCACTGCTTGATTGTCAGGTAAGGGGCGTAGAGTAGCAGTTCAATTTAAATTTCTTTTTCTCAGAGCTATACAACTTTTTTTGCAACCGATTTGCCAACCAAATACTTTTTGTCAAAACTGAAACTAATGTTTGAAAAAAAACTGAAAAAAATCAGTTATCTAAACTTTTCTTAAAAAAAACTTTCCTGCATTTATCTTTTTGCTTTCGTTTTTAGAGAAATAATAACTACCAACATTTAAAGCTTAAAATCTTACTATTTAATGATATAAATCTTAATAATACCCCAACACGTTTTTAGAACAGTTTAAATTTATTTTTATTTTGTGACACTATGTATAGAAGTTTAAGTATAAGACTTTTATATTTTACTTCCTTTCATTCTTTTTAAATTTATTTACAATATAAAATGTTTATAAATTGGCAACATAAATAAACTGAAAAATAAATATTTATTGAAAACTTTTGTTTCTGTCTAATAATTAGTATAATTATTATATTGTTTAAACACCTTGAACTTTTATATTTGATAAATTTATTTTAGTCTGCAGGTACTTTTAATGATATGACTGGTGTTGATGGTACCTCGTACAGAACTGATAAACCAAGAGCAGAGTCTGGCACTGCTGGAAACCTGAAAGCAAGATTCGAACAGCTAGCAAAAGGAGAAGATGAGGTTTTAAAAACGAATGATTTTGATATTTAATGCTTTTTTTAAGTTAAATATTTTTTTTTAACTTTAAATCGATGGATTAATAATTAGGAAGCGCGTCAACGTGCTGCTGAAGAAAAAAAGAAACGTGAGCTAAGAGAACAAAAAGAAAGAGAGGCAGCAGCAGCTGCGCAAGAGAAACTTGATGAACTCCAGCGATTACAGAATGAAGCTGCCGAAAGAGTAAATTTTTTTCTAAGTTTATCATTTTTTAATATTTTTTTTAATTTATTATTTTTTTCATTGATGTTGTATATTTTTTATCATACTTTTTAACTAAAAGTTATTTTGAACTTAAAAATTTCATTTATTTTTTAGGCCCTTGCACAAGAGAAAGCAGAACTAGTTGACGATGACAGAAATGAAGTTAATACTCCATCATTTTCTTATGTTGCTCCAGAGTCTAATTCATCTCAAATAAAAACAGAAAGTGTTAGTGTAAGTTATATCAGCTTTAATTTAGGCTGCATGTTTTCTCACATATATATATATATATATATATATATATATATATATATATATATATATATATATATATATATATATATATATATATATATATATATATATATATATATATATATATATATATATATATATGTTTTTCTTCACATATTTATGTTGTTTTTTTTCACATATATTTTCTTCACTTTAAATGATTGTAACGTTTGCTTTAAATGCCCCATTGTTATACTGCTCTAACTCAATTTTAATATGACGTAATAGTAATATTTATCGTTTCAACATTTTTATCTTAATCTTTAATATTTTTGTCCATAATCTCAGTGGCGGCGTTAATTTTTAGCATCTTCCAATAGGCTCATGCTTGATTAGGTTCTCACAAATTTTACAAGTTGTTGAAAGTATAAATATTGTATATTATTTATGACTTTTCGATTCTTTGTCTTTTAAGAAGTAGTTTTTTAAGAATTAATTTTGTTATTTCACAATTGCTCAAGTTATATTTAAAGTTATTTCACAATTAAGTCATAAAAAAAACTTTACTTTTAGGTTACAATTAAAACGAAAAAAAACTAATTTTAACCATTTTCATAATGCTGTCGTTGTATAATACCAATATATTACGTTTTTTATTTATATCTATCTTTTATTTATATCTTTCAATATATTTTTCATATAAAATTTTCATATCTTATATTTATATATTTTACCTTATATTCTTATATTTCATATATTATATTGTATATCTTATATCACTTTAAAACAAAAATGCGAAAGAAATCAAAATTTTTCAGAATATTATTTAAAATTTATCTAATTATTAATTTGTTTGTAATAGATGCCAAAATTTTAAGTTTCACTAAGGTTATTTTCTATAATATATGCGTCTCAGCAATGACTTTTTTTTTTGCTTGTGGTTTGATAAATGTTAAAGCTATTATAAGTCAATTCGTAAAAATATTTAATAATATTTTAATAACAGAAATTTGTAACACTCAATTGCAAGGCATAAAAAGTAGCTAATAAATTAAGTTGGAATAAAAATAAATGACAAAACCTTTGTTAAGCTATTTACACAAAAATATAATACATAAACACAATTATAATCCTTTTTTACATATTGAATATCCTAACTTGTTTTTGCAACTTCCTCTTACCCTTCATTTAAATTATTTGTCCTAAAGATGACTTTTTCTAGTTTGTACTCTTAAGTAAAGTTAATTTGAAAGTTAGTTTGTAAAAACAACATAAACATGATTTTGTTCTAAAATTTTTAAATATATTTAGGATCTTGGTGTGACCGCAACTGCACTATACGATTATCAAGCCAGTAAGTGTTTTATGTACTTAAAAAAGCATTAGCTCTTAACGTTTGCAAATATTAAGTTGTGATCACTATAACAGATAGAATAGATTGTAACAGTAATGCACCTATATTTTTATTGTTATGTAATTATATTGACAAGGAGTTGGACCGTTAATTATTTTTTTTCACTTGTGATATGACGTATGTTGTTCTTAGCTCTTGATCTTGGGAATATCAGTATAACTTTATATATAGCGTTCCAATACATATTGGAACGGTATTTAGTTTCTATTTTGTATTAAGAACTTTGTAAATATAAATATTTTTTTTATAAAGATGACGAAGATGAGATTACTTTTGATCCCGATGACCAGATTACTAACATTGAAGAAGTAAGCGAAGGATGGTGGAAAGGAACGTGTCGAGGAAAGACTGGTCTTTTTCCAGCTAATTATGTGCAAATAAATGAATAATAGAAACGATTATCTTATAATAGCTGGATATCAGTTCAATTTTTTTAAGCATTTATACTAGTTATCGAACTTGTTGTCTGTAGATGTAGATGTATTTTTTTTTTTTTTTTGGTAAAATTTAAATTTAGGTATTAAATTGTTAAACTTTTAGAAATTATTTTTTGATTCTTTTTTTTTTTTTCTTTTTTTGTTACGAATTGTTTTTTTTTAAATTATTTTTTTGTATAATAAATATATAGCCATCTTAAATTATGTGTTTCTATAGAATTTGTAATTAATTAGAGCGCAATAAATAATTTAAGTAATTAAACAACACTCCTACAACAATCACTAAAAGTGAGTATTTATTTTGAATAAATAAAACAAAATCCATCGGGTAATAGAGCCCCAACACTCTATTACCCGATGCTAAAGTTTAAACAGTGGGTAATAGATTTACTCTCCATCCGCCGTTAAGTTTAAGTTATAACATTCAATCTTTTTTGTTGTTCTATTTATTTATTTATTTTTCGAAGTAGAGGGGCACAATCGTCTATTTCTAAAAAAAATCCTCTATATCTAAACCAAATTCAACATATAAACGAGGTAGCAACATATAAACAAGGTAGCATTTTGCTAAATCTGTAAACTTCTGAAATGCGTTACCAGTAAGCGAACATCCATAAAGTACGTACGCAGTAATCCACTGATTTAGGACCACCACCTCCCTCTCCCATCTTGTACGAACCTGTATCAAAAACCCCTCCTCCTCCGCGTACGTACACATTTTTTTTAGTTAACTTGATTATTTTTTTCTCTCAAAGAAATAAAAAAAAAATAATGAAAAAAAAAAAATTCTGATTTGTTACGCACGTGAAGTTGAATGTTTTTTTTTTGTTTTTTTTTTTAAATCAAGTTTAGGAGAGATATACCGCGTATCATACTCACTGTCTTTAACCCCTATATCATACCGCGTACGTACTCACTGTCTTTAACCCCCCCTCCCCCTTGTACTACAAACGCGATTGGGAAACCCCCTCCCCCATACCTGCGTACTTACTTTATGGATGGCCCCAAACGGTTTTAGATGCTAATTTTTAATATGATTAAATAATGCAAATGATTGAAATATTAAAGTATTGTGGTAGTTCTATTGTTGCTATTCTTTGCGAAGATAACAAAGTAAATAAAAAGTTTTTTTGCAAATACTTATCGAAATTTTTGCAAATACTTATAAAAAATTGTCATCAAAGTTAATGCATTCTTTTATATAATTCTTTTCTTAATTTTTTTGTATCTTTATTTTGAAAAGTTATTTTTTTAATTATTATATATAAAGATTTTAGAGCTTTTAGCACTATAATGAGTCTTTAATATACAATTTTTTCATTTCGGTCCTACATCCATTTGTTTCGTAACTCATTTAGGTTACATTCAGTTATTTGTCCTCAAATAAGATAAATTCAATCTAAGATCACCAATATAATTGGTATGATGTAGCGAGTTCGTTCGTATATCAATCAAGAAAGTCTCAAAATAATATATTTTGGATTAGTTCATTAATTCATCAGTTATGCAAATATATCATAGGCAAGTACTCAACCATTAAAACTTAAAAAAATTTAAAGCTTACAAAAACATGCGTGCAGAATCATTTACTCTAAAAATAAGCGTGAACACGCTAAACCTATAATGAATGATATGAAAATGATGGATATTTTTGAAATAAATATCTATCAGGGTTTAGTTTTTATGTATCGATTCAACAATAATCTCTCTCCTGAAAATCTTAATAACAAGTTTGAAATAAATTGAAATAAAAACTATTATCTTAGAGAACTCAATTGAAATATCAAATAATAATCATTAAATGAAGATTACTTGACCATATATTTTGATTTTGAGAAAGTGAAATTTCTCTTTTTATAATATTGGAACAGAATCTTTATTTGAATTTTGAATTATTTTGAAAGAAAATAATATATACAAATATATATGTCGAATCACATCCAATTTATAACCAAAAACAGAACATTTTTGTCATTTTTATTACTATATTTTAATCATTTCTTTTTCTTTTTTTTATCTTTTCTTCAATTATTTTAATACTTTTTTTTTTTTTCTTTTTAACTTTGTTTCTTAACATTTTAAAATTGTCTTTTTTAAAATACTTTTGCTTATATATTACGGATTATTGTATATTACGGGTATTTATTTGCATTACTATTGGGGCTCGGTAATAAGGCTATTTTATGCCTTCTTCTTGCTCCAGCCAATTGTACTTTTTATATTATTGTACTTTGTAAATATTTTTAACGGCGAAATAAACTAATAAACTAAACTATATTTTATATTGTATATACAAAAACGGTGCTTGTTGATAAGATTTTACTGTCTTCTTTGTTCTACGGACATATTTGTCTTCTTCGTTCTACGGAAATTTTCATTCTTGTATGTATGTATGTATGTTGATTATTTTTGTTAAACAGCAAAATAAATGAAACGCAAAAAAAAAAAAAAAAAAAATTACAAAAAACTTTAATAAATTAATTATTATCAAATAAACTCATTATTAAGTAAAAATCATTGCTTGACATTCGTATCACTCCAGCTTCTGGAACTAAAGTGATTTCCTGCTTGGACTCTTCTACAGTTTGTGGTCCGAACAACATTCCTGTTTTAGCGTTGCAGAAGTATTTTCTGGACCTGTTGTCTATACTTTCAAAACTATCTAACAACTGCTTATCTGATTTTTATGCTGGAAAATGGCACCTGTTATTCCTATTTTCAAATTTTTTAAGAATATTGAATTATTTCTTTCCAAATAAAGTTGTTCTCATGGACAGCACTCTTCTTTATTTTTTGGATTTTCAGGGGTTTCTCAAGGTTTTATCTTTGGCCCTATATTTTTTTAATTTACGTTAACAATCTACGAGAAATTCTTACATCTAAGATGGCATTTTTCAAGAAGCCAGCACTCTTTGTGCTTGGAGGGAGTATTTGAGTTGGAAAAGGATCTTAACTCTGCTACAATATGAAGCTCTCAGAGACTGGTGAATTTTAACTTAGATAACACTCAATTTTTTTTCAGTTAAACGTTATCGCAACAATCTAGATCTTATATTTATGAACGGTAATGTACTCGATGAGTCATCTACTCTTTGTTTTTTAGCATTAACTCTTACTTACGGTATTTCCTAAATTGGCATCTGCTTTGTCGTCCTAAAAGGTAGATGAGGCATTTGTTTTATTGTGCTCTTAGCCATTTTAGACAAGGAGCAAAAACGCATTGTAAACATAGTTGGACCTACTCTTCACAGGTCAGAAATTGATCTTTTAGGTTTGATTTTGGAACACCCCAAATATTTTTATAGATTCTATTTAAGAAACCTTTAGGTTACACAAAATTGTAAAAGTTAAAATCCTGTAGGTAGCACATTTTTAGAAAAGGCATTTAAAGGAAGCGGGCCTATGAAATTATCATGTTCAAATGAATAAGCTTCCAGAAATGCAGCAAACCCTAAATTTTTACATTCTAATACCAATATCAAATAATGATGTTCTGGCTAAAAAAAACAACTCAATTTTGGGAACATAGAAAATACAACGATTTCACCGACCCCAAAATATGGCAAATGAAAAAAAAAAATTTTTGTACAATCTTATAATAAATGAAATTTTATTCAAAGATTTCAAAATTAAAAAAGATATAAATACCTACAGGATTTTAACTTTTACACTTTTGTGTAACCTAAAGGTTTTTTAAATAGAATCTATAAAAATATTTGGGGTGTTCCAAAATCAAACCTAAAGAGTCAATTTCTGACATGTGTCTTCAGCAAACCTTTAAGTATTGTCACATCGTCATAATATTGTTTCTCTTTTTCTTTTTTATAAATACTATAATGGGCACTGCTCAAATGACCGTCTCTTGTGCTATCTATTATTCTTGATAGTCTTATTCTCCTGTTACACGTCTTTCAATTAAGTCTCATTCTTTTACTGTGACTGTTCGTAAGTGCTCCAAAAATATTTTATTCGTCTAGTTTTTTGCTTATAACACTAGTTTTTTGGAATTCGCTCCCTTCGTCTTGTTTTCCTGATTCATATATTTTGCAATCTTCCAAGTCTTAATCGTTATCTTGCTTTTTAAATTTTATCTTTTCTCTTCAGCTCTAATAGTAGTTTTTTTCAGCCTAATTGGAAGTGAAGATGTTTAAAAATTAAAAAAAACAACAACAACGAATGCTTCTATAAAAGGAAAACACTCGCCTACATTATTTGTAAAAGCCGTACGTTTACTCGGCCTGTCACTGTAGCCATGAAATATACCCAAAAAAAAAAACGAACTTCACATGAACTACACCTTGAAAAAATAAACGCATTTATCTGAGTATTTTGAGTTTGTCTTTACAACATTTTGTTGGATCTAACAAATAGAGTGGTACCAAATCACTTTTAAATATTTATTTAACTTTTAAGACAAAAAAAAATTGATTTCCAATCATAGTTCTTTTGCGAATATTGATCAGCATAAACAGGGTGGCCCGACAATATTTTTCTACTATATTAAAACCAAAGTTATAATCAAAAAAGTTACAGAGAAAACATAAGTAACAAAAATCTTTTTATGTTCTGCCTTCTAAAGTTTTTTTTTTTTTAATTGTTTTTTCTCAAAACTCAAAAATGTGCAGATAAAACAAGATTATTCTAACCTCGCGAAATTTAGCATTATAAAGCATTAAATAAAACTCAGACAACTTCCTCAAACAACAAAAAGTTTTCTTAAAAACTGTTTACTTTAAGGTGGTAGACTGCTAAAAAAATTGCTTTTGTATTTTACAATATTTCAATAGATTTTTTTTTACTTCAAACATGAAAAATACATTAGAAAACTTATAATTTTTTTTTTTTTATATATATGTATATATATTTAGGGAAAAAACAGGTATTATTAGGTCAAAAATAGGCTAAAATCTTGGCAAAGATACCTCAAAAAGTACATTTTATTAAGTTCTAATTTTTTGTATTTTTATTCGTTTTATGTAGATAAATGTCCTGAGATAAAAATTTTTGTTGAAAATTTCATTATTTTGAAGCATCATTAGATTTTTCAAAGTGCCCAATTAAAAATTGAATTTCTGATATTAAGAACCAAAATTTTAAAATATTGAATATACCAACTTATGAAAGCAGGTTAAAATCCCCCTTTTTTACATACTGTCCCTCTTAATCTTTGTATTTATTATCAAACCCTTTCCTAGTTGCTTTAAGATTTTTTCTTTGTTTTTTAATTTTTTTTTTTATTTCTAACCTTAACTAGTCGTTGCTATGAACGTTGCTAGGGAAAACAAAATTACCCTGCTAAAATAAATCACTTTTATTTGTTCTAAATTTGTTTTTCTCTTATGAAGATCTGTATGTTTTTAGATTCTACAACAGTTACTGTTTAAAACAATCCCATTTTTGATAAATTGTTTTTTTCTCACTTTTTTAAGCAGTCTACCACCTTAAATTAATAAACATTTTAAACAAAAAAAAATAAAATAAGAATTAAAAAATTAAGAATTTCACTCTGATAAACTTTGCTATCAGAGACCCAGCATTTAAAGGAATATTAAGTCGCTGAGAATAATTTTATTAGAATAGGAATTTCCGAAACATATCATGATAAGAAAAGATTCTCTATTTCAGGAGCGAGGTTATATAACGAAGAGTATATGTGTGTGTCTATATATATATATATATATATATATATATATATATATATATATATATATATATATATATATATATACAAACAAAAAATTTAAAAAAACATTAACAATAAAATAAACTAAAGGCTCATACGGCAGTAGAAGACCAATTTTCTTAATTGAAAAAAACAAAAACACCTGGGAACAGTCTCCAAGATGTCAAGCTGAAATCGAGGATAAAAAAAATAAATAGGGGAGACCGGGGCTAGTTGACTCAGTTTTTACTCTATGAGGTCTGTAGTCCTAACGGAACATTTTTTTGAAAATATAAAAGTGTAGTTTCGAAGAGTATGAATTAGGGTAACTTATAAAAGTTGCATTCATTTACAAAAAAAATAAGTTGCTTATACTCAAGGGGTAAGTTGACTCGCAATAATAAAAGCTAAAGTTAAAGGTCCTATTTAAGTGTATTCCAATAATATTTTAACCCCCTGCCCCTTTTTTTTAAAGCAATCATAGCTGAAATATACTTTTATCAATATCATCAAACTTTTGGATCAAGTCATTGTAACATTTTAAGCAATAGAAAGTAAATATAATTAAAAAATACAGTGACAAAACAAAACAGTGTTCGCAATTTATGGTTATACAATAAGAATTAAAACTTATATTGTTTTATTACATGAATATTTTTAACTAATGGAGTTTCAAATCGGCTAGCAGCAATTATTGCAAATGAAAAACAAAGATTTTCCGATTATACATGACTCGTGAGCCCAAAGGTGACATTGGGTGCATTGAACCCAAACTTCCTCTGGTTTACTTTTAGAAAACATTCCAACACAAACCAAACAAAAACACTCCTCTTCAACAGAGCTATTTGGACAATTCAAACTTTTCTCCATTAAGTGTAAACTTCTTTTACTATTTGATTTTTTACTCATCTTAATATTATCTTCATTTAACTTTTTTGCTTGTTTTCTCTCTTCAATTGCTAACTTTTTCTTTTTAGCTGATTTTTTCTCTATTTTTAAAACATTCATATTTGGTGAATCTGTTAAAATTGATGTGGTTCTACTTCTTTTATTAGCCCTAAGTCTTTTTCTTGGTTCAGCTTTTTTGAATGGTCTTAAATCTTCAGGCGATAGATCTACAGTTGACTCTGTAGATGCACTGTGTACATCATTACTGTTTGAATATGAAATATCTTAACGTGGTTCTATATCTTTTGAGCAACCAGCATTTAACATGTCATTCTCAGATATTGTAAATTCAACATCTGTTACATTTCTTATATTTAGCGGTGTACTTTCCACAGCACAGTCTTGTTTCGGAGGTGGTCTATCTGTGGTATAGGCTGGCATAAAATCGTGTTCACCAAATATTAACATTTAGTGGGTAAATTCCTGTTTTTTCAAAACCAGCCTTGATATTATTAGGGGTACATGCTAATGGAAATGAGTTACCCACAATACCCTACAATTACTATACAATTACCCTGGTATACTGTAAATAGACATTGTGGAACCAGGGTGCATTGTCATCCACGCATCGCAAGCTGTGTTTGTGTATTTTTTAAAAGGTTTAAATACACTTCCATCTAAAGGTTGAAGTTTATGGCTGCAATGAGGAGGAAATGAACAAACCGATACCCCATTTTCTTTAAAGTAATCTAAAGTCTCTACTGCAATGAGGAAGAAATGAACAAACCGATACCCCATTTTCTTTAAAGTAATCTAAAGCCTCTACTGAAAGATGAGAGTTATGATTGTCTAATAGCAACAAAATAGGTCGTTCTTTTGTACTTCTGGCATATTTGACAAAATGATGGGAAAACTGCAAAAATTGAACTTCAGTCATCCAGCCAGATGGGTTTGCCTGCACTTCCATCAGGAGCACCATTTAAAAAATAGCTTTTAAATTTCACACGAGGAAATATGAAAAATGGAGGAATTGAATTTCCACTGGCAGAAACAGCAACTGCCACAGTTACTAAATTGTCTCTCTCAGCCGAAATAACACGCCCAATTTGTTTAAAACCCTTTCTTGCTACAATATGATCTGGAGTTTGAACTGTGGTAATACTAGTTTCATCCATATTCCAAATATCTCCACTTTCCAACTTTAAACGATTAAGAATAGTTTGTAAACTGTTGTAAAACTTTTGAACATTTGTTATTTAAAACTGGAAACACGTGCTTGACTTGTTGCCTCAGGTTTTCTTATTGACAGTTTTTTGTGCCTTTTGAGGTAAGCACTGAACCAGTCTTCTCCAGCTGCTTCATTTGCACTCCATTTATGAGGCATTTTTATGCTATTCGCTTTTCCATACTGATAAGCTAGTTTTCTCACTTCCTTAGGAGAAAGTCCATAATAAATATCAGAAGCTTTAGTCACATATTGTTCTAACAGACCTTCTTGTAAATCAGTAAAGACCTAAATGAACAATATCAATATTAAAACAAATAACACTATATATATATGCACACACGTATATATATATGTACATATATATATATATATATATATATATATATATATATATATATATATATATATATATATATATATATATATATATATGTGTGTGTGTGTGTGTGTTTGTGTGTGTTAAAGAACATAGCAGTTATGTTTTATAACTGTGTGTGTGTTTGTGTCTCTGTGTGTGTTTACACACACACACACAGATACTCTGTGTCTGTGTGTGCATGTTTACACAGACACACACACGTATTACATTATGTGTTAAAGAGCATAGCAGTTATATTTTATAACTGTGTGTTTAAACACACACACATTAGTATTAGTATGTGTTATAACCCACACACACATATATATATGTATGTGTGTTATAACACACATATATATATATATATATATGTGTGTGTGTATATAACACATACTAATATATATTAGTATGTGTTATACACACACACATTGTATTAGTATGTGTTATAACACATACTAATACACAGTTATAAAATATAACTTATATGTTTTTTAGATCATTAAGCACTCTATTTGTAAATAATAACACTAACATAATTTTTATATACAATATATATATATATATATATATATATATATATATATATATATATATATATATATATATATATATATATATATATATATATATATATATATATATACTGACCTGTCTAGATTTTATGTAACCTGATATTTGCTGACCATGACGTTGTTGCTTTTTGCAGTATCAGGGATATTAAAGTCTTTGGCTGTTTTTCGTATAGATTTTCCTTCTAATAAAACAGCATCAACAGCATTTTTTATAATATTTTGAGGAGTTATAGCCCTCTTTGTTTTTCTTTTATAGTTTCGCATGTTATATATGTGATCTATCTATCTAATCGAATTTTAAAAAAATAAATCAAAAGTTATAGAAAAAGTTGAAGTTTATGTACAATCGCAACCGGGTTTAGTTGATATATACGGCCAACTTGCCCCGCCAAAATTTTGCCAACTGTTCTGTTGTTGTTAATATGGATATTCATATGGATTAAAAACATCCCGCCTGTTCATATGGATAAAAAACATCCCGCCTAACCGGGGTACCCCGGTTAGGCGGGATGAATTTCAGCTGTGTTCATATGGAAAAAACATCTCGCTCTAGCGGGACGTTTTTAAGATCATGTGACATTTGTTTATATATAATCATTCGCGCAAATTATTTAATTAATTATAAACTATTTTTGTTTTTATACGTGGTTGAACGATTTAAACTTAAAAATAATTAAATACTCATTGAATTTCTTAACAAAACTGTCCAGTCGAGCCGGGGTGATTTTCAACTTGTGTTCACATGAAGAATTTTCACCCCGCCTGACCGGGATCCCGGTAGTCCATAGGCGAGATCCCGCCTAGGCGGGGTGAGAAAATTTATATATGAACGCGATGTTAAAATTATACGAGTTTATTAAGATAGGCGGGACCCCGGTTGTTTTTCTGTCCCGGTTAGGCGGGATGATTTTATCCATATGAACAGCCCCTAACCCCGACAGCTATTTGGTCACAAACTCCTCTACCGATCCCTGAAAAACGTATATAAATAAAAAATAATGGTTGGACAGATTTTACTGAACCATGCAAGATATAACTCAAATCAAGTTTACGTGTACTTGATGAAATTGCTTTTAAAAATCGAAAAAATAAAGTTGTAAAAGTTACAAAAATGTGGAAAAAACACATAAATCACAATATCTTTTATGCGCATGCGCAAATCCCCACAATACTACAGTGAAAGATGAAATGGTCAACTAAGAAGGTTTCCTGAAACTATTGGCACTTTTTGATGAAAGACTTAGCCGATAAACGCAATTCGTCAACTTACCCCTGCTGCCAACTAGTCCCGGTCTCCCCTAAGCTAATTGCTATGTTGTGCGCGACTGCTTTAGTATTTGAATAAGTAATACAAAGCCGTTTTCGCAAAACTGCAAGTCGTTTGAAATTGTTGTAAGTCGCATTTTAACAATTTCTTTTGAAGAGAAAAAAAAAACATTAACTCTAACATTTGTTTTAAAAACTATGAAAAACAAATTGTAAACCACTATTTTTCTAACTTTTTTCTTATACTTTTCTATACTACTGACACAAATCAAAAGTGTTTTTTTAATACCAAACCATATTTTGTCATATTTTGAAGTTTAAAACGTTGTTTTAAACTTCAATGAATAAAAATAACTTTAACTGATAATAAGTTACAAGAAAATACAAACAACGTTTTAACCAGTAAAAGTTACAAAATTGATGCAACTGTAGGAGGATCACAAAACGTTCATTTCGCATTAAGTCAAAAAAAATACGCTATCGACCATATCTAAACAAAAAAAACATCGATAAAAATATGATGTTAACTAATCAAAATATTTAAAGTGTCCTAGAAAACATAAAATAATTTAAATAAACACATAGAATAATTTAATTAGAGATATATTAAAGTTTTTAGTAAGGATCTGAATGAGAAAAAGCAATGATGTAATAATAATGATGTAGCGTGACAACAGTATAATTTCTGTTCATTCAACCCAAATTTCTAAAACTATAAAAAAAGTTAGATTTCAGAAGTTAGTTTCAAAAGTTAGATTTCAGTATGTTCTTTACGAATGCTTTATTGTGCATCGAGTTCGGATCCGTAATCCGGTATTTAAGGCATAAAATTTTGATTAAAAAAATCCTGCAAACCATAATTCAATCCATCTGCAATATTAATATTAAAGTAAAAATATATGGTCCCAAATCTTAGTACGTTTATTTTATATATAATAAATGAAACAAGATTTTTTTAAATGATTATTTTGAAAGTTTACTAGAAACTCGATGGATAGGTCACTATAAAAAAACAAATAAATGAAGATTTCTTAACCTCTTAATAGAATAGAAATAATTTAAAAAATAAAACTCAAAAAGAAAAAAAACAAAATTTTTTTTATTTTCTTTATAAACACTTTCTGAAATAAAAATAAAAAACATATATATATATATATATATATATATATATATATATATATATATATATATTATATATATATATATATATATATATATATATATATATATATATATAAATACATATTATATATAATATGCATTTTTACATAACTTATATTACAGCCAACACATTGAAACAGACAAAGTATCAAAAATAGTAATGTGTACTTTTGTAATTCCCACTCTCTGTTATCTAAGGGACACACTTGCCGTGTTTTTAACCATCTTGAAATACAGTGAAAATGGAAGGCATGCTAAAAAATAATGATAACATAACATACAAGACTTTATTAAAATTGATTTTCAATATTGCTTTTCTTTTAGTTACAAATTTCAAAATTTTAATAAAAGATCCTTTTAAATTAAGTTTGCGAAATTAATTATTTATAAGACCCAAAATAAAAAGTAAATTTATTAAATATTCTATAAAATACTATACATTTAACTATTGTTTAATATTTTAAATATTTTTATTATTTAGTATTTTAATTTTTTTATTTATTAAGTATTTTATATTTTTTATATTTTATATAAAAAGTAGAAGTAAAATATAACTTCTGTACATTACAAACACCCCAAGCAACTGTACAATCTTCACTGGTAGCTGATGCTTGGTTAGCTTGACACTCAATACCTAAAATTGCCAAACAAAATATCATAAGGTTTACAACAAAAAGTTCAACAACAACAACAACAAGCTATTAATTTTCAATAAACAATTTTAACAATAGTATTGATAATAAGAATAATAATATATATTAAAACAAAAGTAGTAATAGTCATACTAGTAATAAGTATGTAAGGCTCATTAAATATTTTCTAACCAATAAGATATTTAATGAGCCTTAAATAAAGCTCATTAAATATTTTCTAACCAATAAGATTACTTTTTTTTTAAAAAACTGCTGCAACAATATTATTGCCAAACAAAGGCAATAATATACATAGTTTTTTAAAAGTTTTTATATACAAACCTTTTAAAAGTTTTTCATGACTACCATAAACATACATTTATGGTAGTCATGAAAAACTTTTAAAAGGTTTAATTTTCTACATTTTTTAAAAATTTAACAGCTCAACCTTCTAATGGTTTACAATTTTACAAAAAATTCCTTTATTTACATGAGTCAAATTTTCTCAGAAAATATCTGTCTTTAGATTGAAAGTTTTTTATTCACATTTTACTTTCAAAATTTTTCGAAAAAGAGTAGAAAATCTGAATAAAAAGATGAACAACAAAAATAAAAATGAAAAAGATCAGAATATATAAATTTATATCATTTTAACAATGATTTTTTTTAATAACAAAAGGAAAATATTAGAAAACTTTCACTAATGAGTGAGACTATTCAATTAGTTTAACCCTTTTTTGAGATATGGTACTGAGATCCAAAAGATGTTTTTTTTATTGCATCATGCATAACAAACAAATTGATGTAAATCTTACTAGTTTAAAAACAAAGATATTTTAAATTTTCAGTTTTTATTTTATTTTCACTTCCCAATATATATAAATAACTATAAAATAGAAAATAAAAATATATAATATATTTATTTTCTATTTTATTAAAAAATAAATATTGAATTTACACAAAAAAGTGTTTTATTTTTACTAAATTTTGTCTCGTAAGAGACAGCCTGCATGTTACAGGATTTTCATAGCTTTACAAATCAAAAATTAAAATCAATAACAACATAACACTTACATAAGTCCATAATATGATTTCTACAAATGGCACAGTTATCAACAACAATATCTAAAACCATTTGAATATAAATACAATGACTAAAATATTAATTTAATTCTTATATTAAACATTTTAAAAAAATTGGAAACCTTCAGAACTTTTAACTCACCCCATGCCCACAATGCAACAGCATTCCACTAAAATATATTTACATATCATAAATAATTTTTTTTTTATTAAAAATACAATTTCAGAAAAATGAAGGATAAAATAAAAAAACTAAACTAAAAAATAAATTAACAAACAAAAATACTTTGAATAGTTTTAAAAAAATGAGAAAAACTAAAAACTAAAAATAAAAAAAAGCAAGCAAAACTCAGATAGGTGATAAAAATAGACACACAATACTAAATGTTACAAAATAGGTCATTTCTGTTATTACAAAATACCAGGACAAAAATTAAAGAACTTTTCAATATCATGTTAAAAAAGAACTGCAAAGTTCTAAATCTGGGAAGTGAGTTCTAAATCAAGATTAAAAAAATAAGTTAAAAAAAAAGATCTTAAAAAATAATAAAAAAAAATAGTCAAATATTTTTATTAGAAGATCACATTAAAAATTAATTGCAGAAAGTAAACCTGAAATTTTGTTTTGTTTTGTTTTGCACCCAACATGTTTTCAGCATTTTTAAAACAAACTCACAATAAACAAATAACAAATACAATGTATGTGTATGCATATTTAGGTAAGCCACTTATCAAAAATTTATGAATTTATGTCCACCTAACTATTTTTATGTCTTTGACAACGCAATACAAAAAACTGATACTCTTTATATTGACATTTAATGTTTGTTCAGGTAATTTTAAGCTTAAAAATATTTCATCATAAATATGTTTATGCTTTGTCATCTTTACAAATCATCTTAAAATCAATCTAAATAAAATTAGTCTCAAAAGTACCTCTATTTTAATCACTTACCAAAATCTTATCCGAAATTAAAACTAACTAGAGTTTTTTATTATAATAGTGGGCTATTAGTAACTTTTAAAAATGTATCAATGGCATAATTCAGTGTTAGCCAAAATTGGAACACAAGCAACAGTGTGTTTGTGCTTTTATTTCATTCTGAAAACCACACGGCTATAGATATAAGTGTAAAGTAATAATAGTTCACAAAACTTGTAATAAACTTAGATTTAAATCATCAAAGCTAATGGTTCAGGAAAAACATGAATCAAAACTACAAACTTTAAAAGATGCTCAAAGATATTGTCTCTTTTTTATAAAAATTAAACAAAAAAACAAAAAAACTATAAATGTTCTAGATTATTAAAAAATAGAAATATCAAAGCAAAGATTAATGGAAGCCTGTAAAGAGAAGCATAACAAACAAATTAAGAAAGAGGATGTACAAAGATGGTAGAAAAGACTACAGAACTAAAGCAACAACTCTTACTATAATAAATAACATTTCTTAAAATGATCTTCAAAAAAAATGAATTATTAAATCACAATTGGGAGAACAATGTCCGGTTAAATACTTAAAATAAAAATAGAACACAAACTATTGTTTAAAAATATTGTTATTAATTCAGACTGGTTCAGTTAAAATGGATATAAGAAAAAGACAGATTAATTTTAAATATCAAGAGTTAATAAATAGTGAAGATGAGTTTATGTAAAATTGAGATTACTTAGTAAAATAAAAAATTCCTTGAAAATTTTTAGCCTCCAAAAAGATCCAAGAAGATTTTACTTTTTGTAGATATTGGTCAGGCCCTCTTGTCACCTCAGAATTGCAACATTTATTATTGTTTAGGTTTTCAATCTTTTTACTTGAAAACTTGTGCCAGGTCAAATCTAATGAAATAATTAAAAATGCAAAAAACTATTATTAAGTACCTGTATTTATCAATTTAAATAATTCTAGACAAATTTTTATATATATGATTTTGATGCTTAAGAAACCCATGTGGCTTTAATGATATCAACAATTTTTTTTACACATTATTTAATATTTATTGATTTTTCAGAAAACATAAGGATTTTGATCTGCAAGTATATGGATTTCCATATTTGAATAACAGGGCATGGCCCCCACGTTGTAGCGGAATATTGTAATAAATTTTTCACTACCTTACAGACTAGCTAGATCTTTGAAATTTTTGGCATTTCTGTAGTGCTGATTAACGTAAATGTTAAAGCTGTTTCCACGGTCCAAGACGCCAAGTGGGAGCTTTGGGTCATGTGCCCAAAATTTTTATAGTGGAATCTTGCAATAGATTTTTAACTACTTTTCAGTCAAACTGGAGCTCTGAAAATTTTGTGCATTCCTGATAAATGTGTATTAAAATTGTTTCCAGGGCAAACAACCAGATGGGCTATGAGGCCGGGGCACCTTGGGCCATGGTTCACCTTTTTTTTTCTTTTTTTTTTCTACTTTAAAAAAAGTAATTATTGTAAAGATAAAGACATTGATTTCAAAAATTTTTTGGTTCATACTGGTTCCATTTGGTTTTAGATTATTCTAAATTCAACGATCTTTTTTAAAATACTTTTAAAAAAAGAAAGTTCACATTAGGTTTATAACATTTTTACTTTTTTTTTCTATTTTAAAATGTCCATTGCCCTGCCTGATGAGAAATGGTGTAAATATGTTATAAATAGTCTTGTTTTACTTTGCCTTGACAAAAACTACCTCATGATACAGATTTAAAAATTTCTATACAAGTGGTGTACCAAAACCAGTATGTAGTTCACCTGTTGTGAACTTTGTTTGGTTCACTTAATTACTAAATGATTTATAGATGAAATGAATGGCTAACTTACTTACTTTTATTCTGTCTTATAAATTTTGTTTACTCAAAAGAGTATAACAAAAAGGAAAATTTTAACAACAGTCACTGATCCACTTGACGTCTTAAACTAGAATGCCTAAAGAAATAACAATTATGTAAGGTTATAATTTCTTGCTCAAAATGAAAAATCAAGAAATGGAAGATTTAAAATGGTAGACAAATAATTGAAAAAATTGTGGAAAAAATTAAATTTTCCATTTATAACAGTAAAGTCAATAGAGAGGAAGATTGAATTGAGAAGAAGCATTAACTAATAAATATGATAAATTTTTAAAGTACCATAATGAATGTGATCAAGTTAAATTTGAAAAAGTGTTTGATATCACCAAAATAGATGGCATTTGGTTAGCCAATGAAGATAAAAAATGTTATTAAATGCAGACGATATAACATGGAGATGTTGGTTATGCAACATCAGTTTTGTGCCGTAAAAACCGACTACGAGTTACGAACATTCTGCAAACATCTATTATTATTACGTAGCATTTCTTTAGATATATATATATATATATATATATATATATATATATATATATATATATATATATATATATATATATATATATATATATATATAATGAAGCAGCCGTGGCGCAGTGGTAGCGCACTTGCCTCAGAAACGTAAGATCTGTGGTTCAAACAACACTTCTGGGCAAGTTTTGCGACATCGGTTGGGAAGGAGGCGTGAACTTCCTATTAAATGCTCTTCCATGGTGCTCTGTGATAAGACCGTGAGGACTTCTTGGGGCACCTTAATCAACTTAAAAAATATATATATATATATATATATATATATATATATATATATATATATATATATATATATATATATATATATATATATATATATTATTGTATGCATGTAAAAGAGAATAAAGAATCATATAGATATATGATTAATATGAATAGGTAGTTTTGATTTTATTGTATGATTCAACAATGGCGCTATGAGTAGGATATCAGAAATGAGTTTAGACGATCCAATGCAAAAGCTTGGATTAGATGCTTTTCAGCTTCTGCTAGGTCAAAAAAGTTGAAAGACATGATAAATGGCGACCACAAAGTGACTGATTTATTTTTATCAAAAGCAGGAATTGGCGTGATAAAAAAACTTCACTCATGTTGTATCCGGAACAATTAGAAGAAATGATTTTTAATGACATTAAAATTGCTATTATGTCCCATTTAAGACCACAGAAACGACTAATAATTGCCAAAAGAGATTAGATTCTTAGCCTTGAAACAACAAAATAATGAAAACGTTGTATTATATGCACAAAGATTACGAGAGGCAGCACATTTTTGTAATTTCAAAAAACGAAAAACTAGACTAAATGACGGGCTTCAATCTTCTGACCAGAGAGTCAAGGCTCTTGAAATGCTACAGGATGGAGAATCGCCTAAATTAGAAGCGTGTGGGGACTTTAAAAGACAGATTGAAGAAATATATTCATTTAACATGCACAACAGTATTGACGGTATAGAACCCCCTTCAGTCAACTATATTGATAAAAATAAAGAAAAACCATTAATATGCAAATATTGTGGACTACAACACCTACCATGAAAATGTCCAGCATTAGGAAAAAGGTGTAATAAATGTGGGAAATTGAATCATTTTAAAAATGTATGTAAATCTAATATTAATTATGTAAGAAAAGTAGATTAAGTAAAGACTGATGATGCAAGTGTATATTCTGCTAACATGAATGACTCAAATTCAGAAACTAATGTCAAAATAAATGATTTTAACATAAAAATGCAAGTTGACACAGGAAGTCAGGTCATAATTATACCTAAAAACTTTTGGGAGTTAATGTTGAAACCTAAGTTACAAAAATGTTACCTTTTTCTCAAACAATTTGATGGCATAGTTATTAAAGTTTTAGGGGATTTGAGGCAACACTGGAAACTAAATCTAAAATAAATAATGTACGAATTATTGTTTCAGATTGTACAAAGAATCACGATTTGATTGGCTTGGACATATTAAAAATTAATGCAACAAACTTAGTTAACAGTGTAGAACCTTTTATTAGTGGACGCTTAGTAAACTATAAAGCAAATATAATAATAAAAAATGGCACGCAACCAAGTTATTTTGAATCTCGACCTCTTCCAATTCATATACAACTATTAGAAATAAATAAACTTAATGTAATTATTCAACAAAAATTGCTACATAAAGATGCACCTGATGGAAGCAAATGGGCTTCACCACTTGTTGTTGTCAGAAAACAAGATGGAGATCTGTGTATATGTGCAGATTACAAAATAGGAGTTATTAAATTGATCTCAAGGGAGCATATCACCAAATTGAGATGGACAAAGATGCACAGGAAATAACAACAACAAACACACCTATTGGATTGTTAAAATGGGCATACTTGCCTTTTGGAATAAAAACTGTGAGTGCTATATTTCAAAGAGATATATAATCTATTGTTGGGAACATTATTCCTTATATAATTATATTTCAAGATGATATATGTGTTGGTGGTAAAAATGCTGAAGAACTAAAATGTAATTTAATGAAAATTTTAAATAAATTGGGAGAATCAGGGATGATCATAAATAAAAGAAAATCTGTAATGGAATCAAAAAGCCTCTCATTTCTAGGATATGAGAAGGGAGTTACTCCAAATCATAATTTAGTTAACAAAATACTCTAAATCAGTCCTCCCAATGATAAAAAAGAACTTGAATTGTTTATTTAAGAACATCAAAATGCATTTGAATTTTTTAAGAAGAATCTTTCTGAAGACCCGGTGGTAAAAATTTACGACATCAATAAAGATCTAGAATTAACAACTGATGATAGTGAAAAAGCAATATCTGGTATTCTATTACAAGATGATCTTTTTCTTTCACGATCTTTGTCTGATGCAGAAACAAGATATTCTAACATAGAGAGAGAAGCGCTGGCTGTAGTGTGGTCTACTTACAGCTAGTCATTTTCTGATTGGTAAAAGATTTAAGCTTATATCAGACCACAGACCATTGGAGTTCATATTTGATTCTAACAAAGAACTTCCTAAAGTTACTTCTGCCAGAATTTTAAGGTAGGCCCTGCAAATGATGGCCTTTGACTATGATGTTAGCTATAATAAGGGAGGTCCTCGTGCAGATGCATTATCACGATTGTCTTTTCTATCACAAGATGAAGAGAATATTCATTAAACTTTTATACACTTAGTTGAATCAGAAATTGTGAACCTTGATCAAATTATAAACGAAACAAAAAATTATAAACTATTTATGGATATTAAAAGCAGAATTAGTAAAAATGATTGGAGCAGTTGTACTGTGGCAGAAAGACCTTACAATTGAACAAGGATAAACTGACTATTGAAAAAGGAATTGTTTGTAATGGTGACCTCATTGTATCTCCAAAGACATAGAGGAGATTTATTCAATCAATCCATGATGGCATACATTGTGGTATTATGCAGACTTGATATAGATTAAATTAGAAGCGTGGTTATTGTCAAGATGTGGAAGAATATGTAAAAAATTGTGAAAAATGTGCTGAGATAAAAGTAAGAAATGAAAGAACAATACATACATATCCTAGTGAAAATAAACCTTGGTATAGGGTGCACATGGATCATGCCTCTGTAAAAAATGTTGGATTATTTCTGATTTTTATGGATGCTTTCTCAGAATGGGCTGAAGTTATAAAGGTTAACAATGCTCTCACAATTAAGACAGTACTCCAAAACGTGTTTTCTAGAAATGAAGCTCCTGAAGTTTTGGTATCAGATAATGCTGCAGAATTTTATGATACTGCTCTATGCCAATGGCTGAAAAAAATAGGATGTTTACCATATAAAACGCCCCCTTGCTGAAAGAATGGTAAAGACAGTCAAGATAAGTCTAAAAGCTTATTCAACAGACGAAGGTATACTAAATGCTTATTTAAGTAGAATGTTGTTAAGTTATAGGATAATACCTCATGTAGGAAAATCGAGAAGTCCATCTGAGATGATGGGAAGGAAGTTAAGATCTCCTCTTACTATGAGTTTTGGGAGTGGATCATCATTATGGTATCGCCAGAAACCAGATTCAAAGCCAGAGCCAACAGCATTCATTTCTCAAGCTGGCCAAAACATGACAATCATTATGAGAAATAATTTTGGTACATTGGCCCATTGCGATCAATTGAATAGGCGACCAATCGATATAAATGTGGATGGGGATGATTGAAGTGTTAACGAGAAACTTTGTTCTATTAATAGAGAGAAACCTGTTACATGTAAAGTGCCAGATCACAAAATATCGAAGAAGTACTTGATCAACCAGAATGCAAAAGCCAATACATTTCAGGGATGTTGTGTCGTAAAAAACCGACTACGAGTTACGAACATTCTGCAAACATCTATTATTATTACGTGGCGTTTTTTTAGATATATATATGTATGTAAAAGAGAATATAGATGTATGATTAATATGAATAGATAATTTTGATTTTATTCTTTGATACAATAATCAGTACAAATAAAAGTACATCCATCAAAAGTTAGGACCAAAGGTTCCACAAGTAATCTTCCTTTATTAAGCTTTTCAACCTTTAATGTTGCATTCAATCTATCAACATCTTTAGAAACTTCTGACGATAATATAAAAAGCTGTATTGAGCCTCCTGCTAAAGCAAGAAAAACTAAACCATATTCCACTACAAAAACTGCACTTCAACTAGTAAAACAGACTAATCTAAGTTTAAGTCAGTAAAGGTTCGCAAACAACTATCAGTCCATGGTATTGACATCCCTACATTAATTCAACCTGATATTTATAAGGTATCTGTCAGAGAATCACAGACAATGCAGCAGAACTTTGAAGAAACCCTTTAAAATGACAATTAGGCTTTGCATTTTGATGGTAAGAAACTTAATAACAAAGAAATGCAAATTGTTGTTTAAAAAAATCAGAACTGCGAAGTTCACTTAACTGCTTTGATTCTTAGTGATGGGAAAGCATTAACAATTTTTAATGGATTAAGTGAGGTATTAGACCAATATTAATTATGGAATTAAAGTTGTAATATGTGATACTACAAATGTCAATACTGGAGTAAGAAATAGAGTTGTAATAATCCAATAAAATTTAAAGAAAAAGGCATTCCTATATCTCAGTATATAGGATGTCAACATCATGTGTTGGATTTAGCCTTGAAGCATTTAATGGACCAAATTCTTGATGGAAAAACAACATCTCCTAATTTAGCATATGATTTTGTGTAAGAAGTCAGTAACAACTATACAAATTTAAAAACTGACTTCCAACAAAGTGATATAAATATAAAAGTTAAAAACATTAAATGATGTGATGATATGCAGTTTTTATACGAATTGGGAAATGCATACCCATATTATCAAGGTACATTTCCCTTTATTACCTTTAAAACATTACCCAATATAAGTAATGCAAAATGGAACTCTAGAGCAACTCTATATGCCTTACTAGCTTTTGTACTGCTTCCAGAAAAGTGTGAACTGCTAAGTGAAATTTGTGAACTGATTTTTGGAGCTTGGCTTGATGTTTGGTTCAGTGACCATTTTTATAAAGAAGACAGTTATAAATAATTGGACAACAGTTTAAAGAAACACAAAAAAGCACACACCATTTTTAAGAAACATTGGAATAAAGACAATACAGCAATTGAGATGCAAAGAAGTAACATTTGTGCCGAACGAGCAATTAAAATCATGCAAGAAATACAATGTAATAGTGCTGAAAAAATCTATTTCAAGATTATTTGATCAAACAAGCGATTGTTTTGTGTTACATTATTCAGCTACTATCATTGTATTGTGTTAAATATTATTATTTACTCATTAGTATATTTTTATTAAATTATACTAAATTGCAAATAGTTTTTCTATTTGCTGGGGAAGGTTTTTGAAATAAAATCATTAATGTATGTCAATTTCATGGTTTTTATTAAAAAACTCATTTTGTAGGACCATTGCCATATAAGGTTGTAAAAATATTATAACTCTAGTTCACATGTTTATAAGAATTTTGATTTGCAAGTATAGAGAATAAAAACAGTCATCCATCTAAAATAATAATTTAAATAGAACATTACATTATAAAATTAAAACTTTCTGAATTGAAAAAAGTTAATATTTTTTAATGCTAAAATGTTAACAGCAAGTTGTTTATTTAACATCCTGCCATTACAGTATATCAATAAAAAAAAAGTAAATAATTAAACCACCTTTTTTCTATTCTAGTGTTTAAGTTGCTTTAATTATATTAATTACTTTTGGTTTCTTGTTTATAATTTAATCAACTAAAATGCAACTTAGTAGTTAGTTTTACAGTAAAAAAGGATTTGCATGATCTTGTACATCAATAAAAAAACTTAAACAGATGACAAAATTTTAACAATTTGCCATCATTATGATGATTTAAAAAGTAGAACAATTCCTGGAATTAGGAGCTCTCATCAATTTAATCCAGAATCTAGAGATACTATTAGCTTTAAATGAACAAGCGAAGATGTTAACATTTTTTTTAATGGTAAAATTAGAATTTTAGTTTTGTTTTAAAATAACTATAAGTTGTTTAAATTAGTTTTTGTATGTTTTTAAACACCTCTGTCTTTAAATTTATATAAATATCTGGGCTAGAGAGTTACAAACATTTAATTGATGATTATATTTAATTTATAAGAAAATATCTAATAAAATTTAAATAAATAGTTGCAACTTTTTTAACTTAAAAACATATGATCACTAATGAACTCCATTAGACTATTGTGATTTGCAGTTATTTCATTTATTATATTGCATTGTACTGTATGTTTTATTTTTCTAGTTTTATAAGTTAACTTTAGGTCAATAATGTTTAAAAAAAGCATTTGTAAAAACTAAGTCCTGAGGTCCTGATGGACCGCCAAAAAAAAATCAAAAAATCAAAATCAAAACAATGTCTAATTATATGATACAGCCATTTAATAATTTAAAAGCTATATAACAAATAGTGATATGGTAACAAATTAAAATCATGATAAACTGACCTTTTTAACTTCAAAGCGTTTTTTATCTTTAACTGATGTTGAAGATGAGCTTTGTTCTAGCATCTCTACATCTGTATCTGCCATATTGTTTTAATTACTATTAATTACAATATTTATTAAAATAAATATTTAAAAGTATAATATATAGTAAAAAGAAAAATAGAAAAAACATTTTAAAACATATTATTTATTACATTAACAAAAAAAATCTTTTATCAGATAAAAAAGATATTAAATTTTAATGTACTAATTCACTAAACTATATAGTTTAGTGCATTAGTACATTAAAATTTAGCAAAATCAGCCCAATTATTATATAATAATTTAGCTGATAGTAATAGTTTTTAATTTAAAATTAACACAATTATAATTTAATCACTAAACAACAATAATTTTGTAGATTTTAAATTAAATTTTATCCAAATCAACAAAATTAACAAATTAAGTAATTTTATCCAAATCAACAAAATCAACAAATTAAGAAATCATTTAGTTATTATATTTAAGTTGTTTTAGTTATTTTATTTAGTTATTTTAATTTAATATTAAGTTAGTTGTTATATTTAATTATTATACTATAATAATTAAATATAAAAATAACTAAAAAAAATAACTAAACTACAATATATAGTTTAGTTATTTATTTATTTATTTATTATAGTTTAGTTATATAACTAATGATGAATAACGAAATTGTAATAATTATTACAGTTTAGCAATTCATTACTGAACTTTTTATTTCATTTTATTTTATTCACTATTTCATTTTATTTTATTTTAAATTTATTTTATTTTAAATTTATTTTATTTTAAATTTATTTTATTTTAAATTTATTTTATTTTAAATTTATTTTATTTTAAATTTATTTTATTTTAAATTTATTTTATTTTAAACTTATTTTATTTTTAATCAAGTTTAGTGCATTAGTTCGGGGTTTTAAATAGACAAAGGCAAAAACTTACCAAAAGTTTTTTTTAATTAAGCTAAAAATTAATTGTAATTTAATTTTTTACTTTTATAGTAACAGGGCTGTAAAGTCGGAGTCGCGGGGTCGGAGTCGTGGAGTCGGAGTCGCGATATTTGTAGCGAAGTCAGAATCGCAGTCGCTCCCGACATTCGCCGACCTTGGTCCCCGTAGAACGGTATTTTTCTTCACTAAAAATCATATGATCCGATTTAAAAGCATCAATACAGCCGGTTATTATTGAAGCTATATTATTTCTAAGGACAAATAATGCAGATTAATTTATCTTTAATTTTTGTTAATTTATAAATTTTTGTTTATTATTAAAAGAATTACTAAAAAATAAATAAAGTATCAGATTATATTGATTCGTTTCTATTAATTATTAATTTTCAACATGTTTATAGAGATATCCATATTCATTTAGCTTTGGAGTCGGAGTTGAAGTAGGAGTCGTACTCTGAGAGTTTTAAAGATCAGAGTCGGAGTTAGTACTTTTTTTTACGACTCCACACCCCTGGCAAGTATTATATTTACCGGTTTTTACATCCATTTAAAACAATCATGACAACCATTTAAAACACCGCGACAATCAATTAAAAAAAATGTGATTTTCAATTAAAACAATCGTGATTTTCAATCAAAACATTTAACGCATGCGCAATCTCAATATTCTATATTATTTAAAAAAAAAGGTTTCTTTATATATTTTTTTTCGATTTTTTAAAAAAATTTAAAATTTTATTTTATTTAAAATATAATGTTTAGTTTCCAATTACTGTCGAGGTATGTCATCTGACCTAAGACACGCTTCGAAAAAGCTTTCGCACTGTGTGTAATAGTTTGATAAGGAATAGATAAGCATGCCTCGCGCATTCTTGAAATTAGTTCATTTTTTTCCAGCTGGGCCCGTATTTCTTCGCACGTTATTCTTAAGAAAAAAAAAATCTCTTCACACGGATTCAAGAATGGTGAATATGGTGGCAAATATTTTATTTGAATGTTCTGAGCCCTCATCTCAACATTATGATGGATTCTGACATTATCCATAACCAGGGTGAATTCTTCCTCTGTCCCCAAAACTCGTACAACTTCATCAATATATTCTTGAAACAAAACTGTGTTGCTGTGTTGACTGACACACTGACAGCTTTGCAGTGAATAATATTTAAACCATCGACGGCCAATATCATCGAAACGTTACGTTGCCTAGGGTGAATGATCGGGTTTGGTATTACTCCTCTTCTTGCCCATGAATGACTGCAAAACATCTGTAAATTAAATGAACTTTCATCAATAAAAACAATATTTCAACAGCGATTAATAGGCGAGATTGAAGTATACCACCTAACATATTCAATACGAAGGTTTTTTACATCATTGTCGTTTCTTCTTTCATAAATTGGTCGAGTAATTTTATGTGTATCCAAGATTGGTCAACCATCTCCAGACAGTTTTAGTTGATACATTTACATTTAAAGCATATTTAATTTCAATTATAGTTGTCGTTGTGTTATCGTTTATAAGCTCTTCAATTCTTCTTCTAATATCTTCATTATAAATAACGTGACGAGCGCCACCTCTAGAACCAGGAAGTGTTAAATTCGTTCGATCGTACCTTCTTAAAATTGATTGTATTGTGTTTCGATTTACTCCTGTTAACGATGAAGCTTCAGATTGAGTTTTTCCTTGATTAACGACTAGATATACAACAAGATCTTGCATATTTTGGGAAACGGAATTTCGCGGCATGAAGATTCAGATTGAATTTTTCTTTGATCAACGACCAATCTAAAAACAAATTTTCGCTTATTTTGGCAAACAGCTGCATGTTTTAATGAAAATCTAATATCCTCATGCGCTAAATATTTTAATAGGAAATCATGGTTGTTTTAATTATCATCATATTTTAATTGAACATCATGGTTGTTTTGCCAATACAGTATGTGTATAAAAAATATGTAAAAAAATATTGTTTTGCATCCATTTAAAACAAACGTGACATCCATTCAAATTTAAAATAAATTCCATTAAATTAAAATAAATTAATATAATATTAATAAAAATAAATTTATATAATGTTAGATAAATAAATATATAAAGACCTTTTTTTTTAAAATATAGAATGTTGAGATTGCGCATGCGTTAAATGTTTTAAATGAAAATCACATTGTTTTAATTGATTGTCGTGATGTTTTAAATGAATGTCATGGTTGTTTTAAATGGATTGTTTTAAATGGATGTAAAAACCGGTAAACAGATGGTAGTACTTGAAAAATGTTTATATTAACATAACTATTGCTAGTTATTTTCTATTGAATGAAATTTTATGAAAGAATTACTAAAACTTATTATTTGCAGCATGTAAACAGGTAAACTTACTATACCATAGAAAAACCATGGAAGTATAAAACAGATGGAAGCTCATCAAGTCGCAAACATCAAAGCAATTTTAAGTCGTTTATGGAGTATGCTTGTAACCGACAATTACAAAAAAAAGTTTCACTGGACAAAAAACAATAAAATTCACTGAAATGATTTTTATTAAAACATTAAAAAAGAATTATTCTAAGGATATGCTACATAGTTTTAACCATTAGTAATTGTAATTATCTAACAAAAGGTTTATTAAACTTCGGTAATTAAATAGAACCGCTTTATTTTAAAAGCATATGTTAGTTAAAGTTTATTTTCTTGTTTTCTAAATTACATAAGCCTAAAGTTTCATTAGCTGTATATCATTCATTAATTTCATTCATTCTTGAAATACTCCATTGATTTAATATAAAATTTTTAAAAAAGTTGTTTGCCGTTTCGTTGCGCCATTTTTAATATATATACTTAAATATTATTGGCGAATCACCAAAATACTATATTTTTAAATTATAAACGTTAAAAATTATAAATTATATTTTTAAATTATAAACGTACCTACTTGCGTCAACGTTTAAAATTAAACGTTTAAGTATAGTCTTGATGTCGTTACTTTGATTGTTTTCGAAACAAAAGGTTGCAAGCATAGTCCCGTACAGGGTTGGCCGATTTAAATCAGTGATTTATCAGAATATAGAGAAAACCTGTTTAAGAAAAAAAAAGTTTTCAAAAATGTTTTGTTTACTCAAAATCCGGGTTTAAAATTTAGAGATGTTTTGAAATTTTTTAGAAATTTAGTTTTTGCCACCTTTGAAACCATTTTTTTGGCAAGATAAAAAGTTGTAAATAACTTTTGTAGTTAATATCAGACGTAACCCAAAAGCTCTCTCCGATAAATATAAAAAAGTTGCGGGACACTGTGTGGTTAGCTAATTATCATAGTTTAAAAGTACAAAAACATTCAGTTTTGTCAATTTTTAATGGGAGTAATTTCTAACGGCAAAGTGTTACACACGATTTTTCTTTCAGGATTTGTAAGTTTCGAAGGTTTTGAGTCTAAAAATGCCAAGAAGGTTATGTGATACCAATGGCCTATTCATATATTAAGGCTTGAAAATTATAAAAAAGTGTTAAAGTATACTTACAAAATGACCCATAAAGGCAGAGGCGCTAAGTTTTTTAAAAAAGGAAAACATGTCCAAATATCAATACAACATGGTCTTAACATAACAATAAAAAAAACTGATTTTGTCACACACAAGATATAAAATGAATTAAAAATTGAAAAAAAATCGAACAGCACGAAAACTATATTGCTAATTAAATGAAACATAAATCAAACATTTAAATGTATTTCCATTTAAAAATTAGTTGTTCGTTTAGAAATAGAGTCATTCACACATATATTTTATTCTGCTGCAGTATGTTTCTCTAAGAATGGTTGATTAGTAAAGGAGCATCTATTAAACAGATAACTTTTTCAGTTTGGTAATTTATCTCCTCGGGAGTAACTGGCCAGCGAAAAGTATTCTTCTCTTGCCCGTTATTCATACAATTAACTCTGATCGCAGTTATAGATACCTAAAAGTATTAGCACACAATTTTAAAATAATATAATAAAGAATTTATGATTAGTTTAATTTTGTTTACATTCAGTAAAACTTATAAAGTCCAATATAATGTCTTTCTAAAATTATTTTTACATTTTATTTATATTGCTTTTATTTTAGAGCACTGTTTTGTAAAACAAAACAAAAACTTGAAAACTAATATATGCCTTTAATAATATTACCAACACAGTATATCCAATATTCCATTATTTTTCAAATACAAGAGCAACCCAATTATTCATTTTCTATACAAGACAAATTTCTTTTGCAAGGTCGGCGTTGTTTTCCTCATATTTATTATCATCTTCATTGTCCCCAGTCTGATTTTGGCGTTTGATGGCGTTTTCACCATAAATTTCTTTGTTACTGTTATTCTGACTATTTTCATCATTTTCTGTTGTCGGTTCTACCATCATACCTTTTTTTTTCAGGTTACTAAATCTACAACAATATCAATAGTACATCTTTTTAAACAAATGTAAACAAACACACAAAATTACAGTTTTCACCGGTTATATATGCAAAAGAACTATTTAACTGTCAAAAACATAATCTAATCTTTAAAATTTTTAATAGCAACAATGCCTACCTTATAAATTAAGATCTTATCTGTTTGCTAGTTACATATTGATCAGGCGGAAGTTCCCTTCTCAGCTGCATGTGAACCTGCTCAGGACTCATCTTAATATCTGATTCTTCTCCACAAATAAAGTATCTAAACAACATTGCTTTCTATTAATTTAAAAATCTAAAAAAACTTTGAACTGGTAATGCTCAACCTTGCAATATAAAAATGTTCATGCAATTTGGTTTGTCTTTTACAAAAACATTGTTAGACATCGAAGAAATTGGCATATATAGTTGTGAAGTAATTTTCATCTTATAAACAAACGAGTTGCAAACTTTATCCAATTATGTTAGTGATTTCGGAACTGTATGAAGACCGGATAGCATGTGTTCTTCTAACTTAACATCGCTTTCAAATGATAAGGTACAATTCATTTCAGCGCAAAATCTTAATGAACATGATTGCCTGTCACTTCTTTTCTGTTTTTTCCTTTACTGACTTGTTTTGCTTAATTGAATTAAC